CGTAAATCTGACGAAAGTCTCGAAAAAGACTCGCAGATTAGCTTGGCGAATAAATTCGCGGATCAGCGCGTTTTTTTCTCCTCGTCCAAGACTGACCAGAATCATAGAAAAGCCGATGTCGAAGATCTCGTGACTTCTTGCGAGGAGGATCGCAAGGTCGAGGAGGTAGAGGATTACAAGTCAATTTGGATCTCGGATAACGAGGAACATCACGAGATGTCACGAAGACCGCAGGTACTCAAAGTCGTCGATAATGACGTCACCAAGAGACGCCATCGGCGTTCCGTCGTGGAGATTGATGCCATCGTCGAGGACATGCCAAAGGATAAAATATCGCAGAGCATTACGAAGGAGACGAACGAGCGTCTCGATGTCTCTGTGATTAAATCGAGTAACAAGGAGAATGAAGTTCATGGAAAAAACGCGAAGGTTAGTATGAGACACGATAAAACATTTTTCATGCTACGACTTTAACTTCTATATTTTCGTATTTGTATTCGATTTCCGTTAAGCGATTTCTAATATTGTACTTTAATTTTGCGATTTTGTCTTCTCTCACATTTTCCGTAAAATTTAATTATTGATAAAAGTTGATATTCCGGAAATGGAGCAAAAGTGCATTAAATTGACGAATTAATTTTATAGGACGCTATGCTACCGGAGTTACCGGAAAATGCGACGACGGTGGAAGATGCGAGAAATTTCTTCGAGCGGAAAACTACGGAAAAGGAAACGACGCGAAATAAGCAGAATGAAGGCAGATTCGAGAGGATCGTGAAGGAAACGTCTAATATTCTCGGCAAGGCGTGCAGCGTTGTAAAGGGTAGTTTGGGCTTCGAGGCGAGATCAGAGAGTTCCGATCTCGGTCTCGGTTCCGAATCCGGTAGTGACTCCCGTAGACGATCGATGGATGACGGTGCTGAGGACGATCGGCTGTCCAGAAATGTCGATAATTCATTATCAACCGCGCCGAAAATTGGTGATGGTAAAAAGTCTCATACTAATCTCACCAGGTCCAGGAGCTGCGTAGACTCGATAGAATGCCAGGACGATGGTCCAGAATTCGATCACGTGCGCTATAAGATCGTTAAGTCGCATATGTTCAGCAAGAACATGTTCAATACCGCTCGGGGTGATGTCACATACGAAGGACTGATGCAGTACCTGCGCGAATATTCGTTCCAGGAATTATTGATGGACAACAACGTCGTCATCATTGAGCCGGTTCGTGCCGAGCCAGTGGAACGAAAGTCGTCACCATTGACCAGAACGGAACCCACGTGCAAGATCGCTGGCGCGATTCAGAAAAAGATGGAGAACTGCGAGAGAAACGGTGAGCAGTTCGAAAACGGTGGCACCGGTAAAAGCTCCAGGCAATCATCCATCAGAAAGCACTTCTTCTACCATCCTATACGGGTGAACCGCGAATTAATTGACGAAGAGCTACCGGATCCGGATACAGTAAAAAATGTGAGACGTATGTTCGAAAACACTCTCGAGAAAAAGAAGAACGCATCCGACGCCGAGTTCTCCGAGGACTGCAAGAATAGAAGGAGCGTTAGCATGAAGGATTTGACTAGCATCGATGACAGTCGATATGACGAAATGTCTGACAAGGCACGCGAAGAGTCCAGGTAGTGTAATATTGAATGGCATCGGCAAACACACTTTTATTATTTACGATGCAGACACGAGTGTTTCGATAAACATATTTTAAGATTATTTTAGAGATTATTTTTATCAAAACTAATTAAATTAAGTATTCGAGGCGATAATACTCTAGATATAATTCAGCCTGAGATAACGTTTGGTTTAATAAAATTGCAAATTGTAATGAAGTTTATATTAGAACGTTCACATCTGTTCGATTCAATTATTCGCGACTAAGATAATAATTTTTCCGGAATTCCATTAAAGTTTAATTAAACAGACATTAATAAAAAGTAAGCCATTTAGTCTGAAACTCTGATGTAAGCCAAGCTTTCAAAATTTCTTTTCACATTCTTCGATCACTTGTAAATAGTTGTATAGCATAATTTCCATGTACTATGTTCAAATCCAGATGTTCCAGTAGGGCGAAAGATCTTACGAGGCTTTTCGAAACCAAGTCCGCGTCATCGACTACCTCTGTCATTAATAAGGAAGAACCCGGAAGTCCACGAAGCGAGTCAAAAACGCGAATTCTCGCGCAAAGTTTCGAAGCTCGAAGCAGGAACTCGTCGCCAAGTGGTTCAAACTGTTCTAAGAATAAAGTCGGCCGTTATCATCATCATCATCATCATCAAAACTGGGATACCGGGAGTGTGAGTTCAGGCGTATCCAGCGATTACCCCGACACCGACCCCGGGAGTGGCGCTCACTGTATATCATCTGACGATGACGATGTGAATTGTAACGATGATGACGCGGACGAGAGTGGTCCGGGGCATTACGTGTCGCAAGACGTACTGAAAAAAATCCGCGAATGTGGCACTTCGGTAACTTACTATGGCGGGAAAGTTGTGAACATGCACAATGGACCGTTCATATCGCCATTGATCGGCAATGGATTCAAGCGGATCGATAAATCAAATGATTACGTCAAGTTTAAGTTGGTGAAGAGCAACTCCTGCGATAGTAGACTAGAGCTGACCGGCAGACTCGTTGAGGAGTTGCACCGCAATTGCGATAGAGGTGCTAATCTCAGACAATGCACCATCGCGGAGACACCTAGCATCGAAATCACGACAATCGATAGCAGGCAAGAAAATGAAGAGCAGAGAGATGAGGATATCGAGCAAATCGAACAAATGAAGCGAGAACCACCGGTGGTGATCGGTCTGGAGCCGAAAAAAGAAGATTCCAAGGAGACGAGGAGGATTTTCAAAGCTGACTTTAAGCTAGGCGATCTAGACGACTTGAGATCCAATTATCCGAGTAAATTTATGCCGAGCGCGTTAACGAGGTGGGAAGCGAACACGAGCTGGAGAGTCGGAAATGACTTCGGTAAAATGGAGTTCGAGGAATTTGAGGTGCTCGAGGATAGTCTTAATGGGATCGATGGCCAAGATCAATATGTGCAAGAATCCTGAATGAGAAGTTTCTGGTATGATATATTTATTTTTTTGATGCGCGATTACGAGGATAAACGAGGATTGCCAAAGGAGATAACGCGATTATTATTCTTAATGAAATTAAGTAAAATTTCATGGTATTAATGAAAATAATCGTCTCTTTCGTAAAAATGATATATAGTTTATGAAAAAATTATTTCCGATATAAGAATAAACATTGTTGAAAAACATATGTTAAAATTAAAACAAATGTTTCTGGCAGCAAATAATAAAAATGCCGCAAAAGAACGTTAAAAGTCAATATAATTTATTATTCAAGTTGATCAATTGATCTATTATTGCAGGTGGATAAGTCCACACGAGTCATATTTTATAGCAGTATACATAGCGAAAGTTAAAGATGAAATTATAGCGTATATATAGTTTCAATGTAATATCGTATGTAGTATACAAAGCATAGACGAACGATCAACGTTTGAGCGTAATACTATGTAATAAATAATGTATGTAATATGTGTGTAATTTTATTTATTATGTATTATTTACCGTCTATGTTTGTAAATTCCAAAAGATTATATAAGTATTAAATATTCTATTTTTTTCAAATATCGATGAAAAATTAAATTTTTCGATATTTTATATTGTTGTACAGTGAAGGTTGCAAGGTTGTGTAAAAATAATATTGTAATTACACCAAATGTTTTATCTCCAATCTATATTCAAACTATCACGCATAGCTTGAAATAGAATGAATGACATAGTCACGAAAACTGGCTCGAATACATGGCACATATTTTAAAACGCAAGTTCCGCATTAAATGACATTTTGAAAGTGCACGAGACGCGTCATTATTTTTGGCTATATATATTTTTGGAATAGCGGTGTTGATTTATCAATTCGTTTGAAGATGCAACCATCGTAAATTTTAAGGGAAATTTTGGCAAGCAAAACCCATCATGCAACCAAATATTTTAAGGTGGATTTATAGCGATTTGCATCGAATAATATTGCAAATAAAAATCTAATAACCTACAAATATATACATATAGCCAGAACAATATTTTATTATTCATATTAACAAAATAATAATAATGATAAAAATAAAAAATTTCTAAAAAGGGAAAATCAACAAAATCTACTATTTTAATATGTATATAAACGAGCATCTTGTAATAATCTAAAAGCAATATTTATATTAGCGGTCTAGTTTGTTCATTATATCTAGCGCAATTATTGATCTATTTTACAATACTAATATAGTCATAAATGCAAGAGTCGTCAAAGCTTTCAGTGTGAATTAAGCCTTACAGCCACTGCAGACCAGGCAGTGCTATAAAATGTATACTGCAAGCTTTGTACAATGTGACATATACGGAAAAGCGATTTCTTCTCCTAAATAGAGCTCTTTCGTCGGACTTAGAGTAGATCATTACGAAACTGTTTCATGTCTGTGTCTCAAAGAACTCAATTTCTATTTGATATCCCCTTATGTCGCGGAGCGAAGAAAATCGCAAAAGTTTCGTGCAAGTGCTCTTAAAATAATATAATATACGTGCCACATATATTCCTTTTAGCTTTTACGTTCGATAACACGGAATATAACGATTTAATGTTTTAGTTATATACATAATATGATGAGAAACATTATTTGCATATCGCACCGCAAAAATTGATGCATGAAATGTCCTAGTGACATCAAAAACTTTGAAATCTGCATATGTTTATTTGCAACCATGAAATCACATGTTATGCAAATTAATTTCGGAGCAATTTCACACACATCAAAAATTAAAAAATTGCAGTAAATAATATCGATTAATTAAATTCTAGTAAGTGTATAATTTCAATTTTTCCTTCAAAAATTTTCGAGAAATAGATTCTTCTAGTTTTTGTTATAACGATAAATTTTAAAGTTTCCATTTTTACGTTAAACATGTTACAATTCTGTAGTTTCGTATGAATGCTATATACATAGCAATATAGAGAGAAATTATTTTATATTATTATACCCTATTATAAAATATACTCCGCTTGTTTACTTTTTTTTTTAAGACAGGATATAACTTACCGGAACTTTCATTATCTATCTTTTCCGTTGACGTAGCTCTCGCAGTTCTCTTCACTTGCTTTTCCGTAGCGTTAGGCTCTTTTAGTTCCTTCATCAGAAGCGGATTTAACCTCGGCGAATAAGAACTGGCCGATAGGGATTTCCAGGAATATAAATATGAGAAAGAGAAACGAGTGCACAGAAAACATATTATTAAAGTTCAATAAAAAATCGTTATATATGTGAAAATATACGGGTTGATCGTGGTTTTCAATTATTCCGTTTAACGAAGCCTGTAATCATGCAAGTTTACCGTCATTTCACGGTCTCTCAATGGCTTAACAATAGTTCATCGATTATCCGATAAAACATAATAATAATTTATAGATAAATATAAATATAAAAATATACATTAACAAGGCCAATGGTTTTCTTTAATCTGATTAAAATATTCATCGAGTAATGTTTGTTGACTCTCTCGGAAGAGTTGTTAATTATATTCAGTAAAAGAAATATACATGCATTTAAGATATATTAGGGAGACGTCTTACTTTTTTTTAATATATCGCAAAAATAATTCGTCATCAAATATGTATAATATAATATAAAATCATATTATATATGTATATTAAAAATTTTGATCGTTCGCTGATGTATTTTTTTTTCTTTGTTTTGGGAAAAAATCTCTGAAAACAAATTTTTCGTTCAGTTTATGATGCATTATTTTATGTTTTGCATATAAATATTCGAAAACATGTCAGCTGAAATATCTCTGTTCGGAAAGCACGCATAGTATTTACTTCAGAACACGGAAATGCAATATTGAGTGATGGAAATCTTGTGCAAAATTCGCAAAGAGATTTAATGTAAAACTGTAATCATAATATTGTAGAAAAATGTTGCAAACTCTCGACATTACATAACAACGATACCAACTTTGCGTTTAATGTAAATACTTTTTTTCACCTTTTTTTGTAAAGATCGGATTTTAAATTTGATTGTATAAACAGCACATGTGTTGCGTGCACAAATGTTTCCGTTACCAGATTTAACGGAATCAGATAAAACAAAGTAGATTCAAATTCTCGGGGGAATGTATTCTATTTCGATAGCGCTGCATCGGTGTTTCAAGAGAGAGAGAGAGAGAGAGAGAGAGAGAGAGACAGATTGTTTTTTTTTTTAGATAAAAGCAAATGTGTAAAAAAAGTTGATTTCAAGAGAAAGCGCGAGAAAGAGCTAAATAATACATAGGAATTCACTCCGGGGTGCAAATCAAAGCGCATTTCTTTTTTAAACTTTATCGCAAAGTAGGGAACTGCCTTCGGAGTGTGTGTATGTGTTTATCATTAATTCCGAAAATAACGAAGAAAGGTAACAAATAAATAAAGATAACAAATATATAATAGATATCATGAAATATATATAACAGGGGTATATACCAAATAATTAAAAAAACCTTAATTTGCTTTGTTTTCTTTTGATCCCTGCTAATTTTTTCAATGATGAGATCGATACCTTATAGAGAGCTAATATATATAAAATATATAGCTCGATATATAACGATTCCTTTCAACATGTTATTTTGCTGGCTTCGTTAAATAACTTTTCTTTTGCGCGAATCGTGAGCGGACTGTAATGCCCTGTAATCCTACGTGCGTGGAATTAAAGTCGTTGATGCAGGTGAATTTTTGAAAAAGTGACCAAGAAGACTTTAAAAAATTAACGCGAGAAAATTCTGAAAACTATACCCATCTATAATCCGTCTCTTTAACTTCGAAAGCTTTCAATCCTTAAGATTCTCGTATCTGTTTCGTCAGGTGTTTGTACTGGTGTCCTAGTTTTTTTTTATTCCTATGTCTCCTCTTACTTTTCTGATGCGTTTACTTCGACGGTCCCTGCGAACTGTCGCCATCGATTCCACTGCGGCATTCGCTGGAATGATATTTGCATCGTGCAGCAAAAGCTATGAAACACAGATGCATCTGATCTATACACCTGGATCTATATTGATGATATCTATCACATTGTGCAGCGTCCATCGTGCATCTCAACCGCAGTCATTACTTATGCATTATCGAATGGCATAAATTTTTAAATAGATTGCCTTTAAATAGAATACGCATGTAATGTCTATAATGCGAATTGAAAATTCAATCAATATACTTTATTATGTGTTGCATTATTAATGAAAATCACACCAGGAGATACGCTATCATTAATTGTTTAATAGTGTTAAAGTATCTTTTTTGATTGTCAGTAAAATGTCCTTGTAACAATGGTTTATGGATTGCTTTATAAAAAAAAAAAAAACAGTTACCCTACTTGACGATGAATGAAAAACTATAGTCAAAACTAAAAACAAAACATGAATAAATTTCTACGAATTTCTTAAGGAACAACGCTTTGCCATTTTTCATTAATTCTGAAAGTCTGTACGTGATATCTGATTTCTAAAAATTAAGTTGATTATGTCTATAATCTTCATAAAATGTGACATTCCGTGACGCTAATTAACCATATGCTCTTAATTTAAGTGGTATTTTCAATTATATGAGTAGTTATATGAGCATTCAACACGCGCGTACAGTATGTTTAAAAGTAATTGTCTCTAGTTTGATCATCAGCCAAAGCTAAAATATCCGGAAGATTTGTATGGAAACACAATTTGTTGTTAAGGTTTTTCATCCATTATTTAAAGAAAACTTACCATATATGCATATAGCCTTTATTCAAAAATACATAATTTATGTATATGTGACAAAAAGAAAGAGAAATTTGTACAATGCAATTTTTTAAATATATATGCTTATGTCAGTGAAAGTCTATTATATGGATAAAATAGGAAATTATATAAAGAAATAATTTTCGCACAAATTATTAAACAAATTATTGTTATAAATAGTAACGTATGTGGATTATTTTATATTTTCTGGATCAAACAATATCTTATACTACATTTAATGAGATATGCGTATATCATACTTAATAAACTTTAGCTCAATATTAGTCAGTCTGGTGATAACTTCTTAATTGGCTACCTCCAAAGGCTGAATCTCATATGTATATGCACTGTACGGATTTCTCTCCTGTTAGAACATTCAATTTTCTGAAAATCATGTCCGTCGGAATACACTCGATATTACTACGATTCATACATATTCATAGCAACTTTTCTTGTCTCATGCATTATTAATAATCAGATCAGATGTATCTATTCATATAAAGATATTAATTTAAATTTGTACGAAGCTTTTGAACTTTCATTAAAAGCATAATTTGAGTATCCCTATCGAACAATAATTAACATTGAAACTACTTCAATTTTATCCTGTACTTCATTTTTTGATTCTCATGTTATATCTAGATATAACTTTATTACAATTTTAAACTAATCATTATTTTTCTCCAAGCGATGAAGGATGTGTAATGTATATTTGTTAATTAACAATCTTTAGCGGTAGATAATTCGCGATGTGTTGTAAAAAAATACGATATATCTTTTAAAATACTGTGTTTTTTTTCTTTATCCATATATGACGTGAAAAGTAAACTACAGAATAAATAGGCAGATGTGATATTAAAATGAAAAATCTAGGGCAAAGCTTTCTTTCTGTGATAGGCGCAAACATAATAACCCGTACAATAACCCGTAGAAAAATCAATTCTGAAAGAAATTATTATGAAAGAAGTTATCGTTCTCCTCTTTTTCGAGATACGCAATAAGCTTTTCCCGATAATAAAGAGGATAGAGTCTTTTTATGCATATAATACTAGCTTTGATTTATTGGAAAATGGAATGCAGTGTTAAATAAAATGTCCACACACACAAATAGTGTATTTATATATACATATAATACACACACACTAGCTTTGATTTATTGGAAAATGGAATGCAGTGTTAAATAAAATGTCCACACACACAAATAGTGTATTTATATATAAGTATAAATATTATATATTTATATATAATTTTAGTAACGCGCTTTAGTAATTACTGTGGAGATTATTTTTGTCTATGTATAAGGGAAGATAAGCATTTCATTATTTTGTCGTGTACTCGTTTCGCAGAGCCGATAAGCCCTTTCGGTCAACATCGCTCCAACCACCATTACAAGGGCTGAAAATATTTTCCACACCCTATGTTGAGTGGAGCTGAACGCTGGATAGGATCGATGGAATGGTGTAGTAAAGTCAAGTGCACGTTTCAAACCGGGAGAACCGAGGAGAACTCTTCGTATTAATCCGTCCAACTTGTGGCACTTCCGTTTGTTGATGCTTGTGAAAGTACATACCAAAGCGCAAACACGCATCTCTATATGTATATCGCGCTTCGATTAGCTTTCACCCTTCCATTCGTGCTACAAAGCATATTCGCGTCGAGTAGAGGGAAAATGTACATTGATTCTATTATATTCGCGTAGGGAATATTTTTTTTTTAATTTTCGTAAACAAACTGAATACTGCGCGGCATCAAAAGCACGTATCGATATTGTAACATTTATACGTTCAGTTTTTCGTGCGTTTATACGTAATTTATCCCAAACAGTTAAATTAGGGAATATTTTTTTTTTATTTTCGTAAACAAACTGAATACTGCGCGGCATCAAAAGCACGTATCGATATTGTAACATTTATACGTTCAGTTTTTCGTGCGTTTATACGTAATTTATCCCAAACAGTTAAATGAACATTTAGCGTGTCTCTCTAAATTTAGCGTGAAAGGGATCTGGTGATAGAACAGCGCTTTCATTGTATTGCTTTGAAGCATTAAAGGAATGTCGACAAAGCCCGTTGCTGAATTGAAATTGACATCGTTAAACTACCCACGACGTTCAAATTTTTATGGATTGATATTAAATGCCATTAAATAAAATGACACATAATTATATAACAACGTTATATCATTGCAAATGTATAATTACCGAAAAATTCAAATTCTTATATCAGGTTATATCTATTGTCATATATCACTGGTAGATATATGACAATTAAATATTCTTTTAATAGCGGAATTTTTTTCAAACAGTTTTATAATGCAGCCAATGTATGACCATCGTTTATATTTCGTGAAAAGATATGAGATTGCGTAGCTTTTTATCATATAACCGATATGACGTTATAAATGCCCAAAATACACATCAATTTGACTGTATG